ATATGTATATTTATGTTTTTACGGGTAGATAAGCTGACATTAATCCATTCACAAGTGTAGTACTCCGAAACTAAAAACTGGATAAATCTATAACAGCTCTTTTAAATAAAAAAAAATAAAATAAATAAACTAGATAACCAATTTATATTGGTAATCTATATAATGTCGAAATACTACTTTCAGTAATGATAGCTAAAATCGTTGGACTATGTGAATAAATCAGCATTGACTTCATAGTTAAAGTCAATATCGAAAATATTATTCAAAGGTCCTCTTCGGGTAATGGATTCGAATACTCCCAAGGTAAGAAATGCCTGCCTTAAAAAGGAGAGTAAAATCCCTAAGGCACACATTTTGGAATATACAACTGTGGTTGAAAATTATGTATGCCTATAATCTGCCACCACAGAATTCAAGTGTCCACAATTTTGATTGTCCAGATGTTTGCATGGCCGGTTGTTCAGGTCATGATGTCTTTGATTAATACCTAGAGTTATGCAGGAATGTCAGTATTTGTATGGACTTGATTTTTTCAACCGGGTGTTGTGATCCAAAGAACTGCAAAGGTTTAGATGGGCGTTTTTCCACAACAAGAAGTAAGTTACATCTAAATATTTATCTTCTATTAATATCGTCGAAATTATTTTCAATTAAGCGTTTGTCGGCGCATTATCTAGACATTTACATTGAGAATAAGTGGTGTTAAGTTTAATAAATAAGATACGGTACAACATATCTAAGATATTTGAAGAATATTCAACACAGTTCTTCAGGTGCTCATGTAGAAGTCATATGTAAAAATTTATTTTTCAATAATAATACCGTAAAATAGTACCGAATAAAAAAAAAATAAATTTATGTTTTTATGTGTTTATGTCTGTGTCAATTTAGTTTTAGTTCACACTTCTTAGAACACCATTTATTATTTATTAGCACATATATTCTGTATTTATATTTTATTGTATATATATTATATATTATTTATAGTATACATTTTTATTGTATAGTTATTGTTATATTTATTCACCTATATAAAATTTTTATTAAATTTTTATTAATTTTCTCTCAAGTTAGTCGCTAATGAATACTGACTCTAAGCTTCAAATTTGGCAGGGCACAAACTCAACTCTTGTTACTTCCAGCCTCAAAAAAATATTTACGAATGATAAAGTATAGGATACAATTCCAAGACCACTGATGATAAAATGATAATAATAACAAAAAACTTTTATTGTTGCAATTACACTACTTTTCAAAAAAAAACTTCTCTATTGAAAACAGTCGTCTATATTAGGTATTAAGTTTCTTTCATTAAAACGGACGTTAAAAATCAATCCAATTCTCTTGTTTTCTTTATGTTAATTAAAGAATATTTTAATTTGTTGTGCTTGATATCAAAAATAAGCTTAACACAAATAATGTTATGTATGGATAACAACAATAAAACATTCAGTGAATGCATTCTTTAACAATTCCTCGATTGCGAGTTGCAAGGAGACACCTCATAAAGCGCCGCGGGAGACCTTTTAATTATGCCATTCAATTTCACTTCACTTCCTTGAACAGAGGAAAGCAGAATATCACACTGATTTTGTGTGGAATGCGAATAATAAACAAACAAAATTGTTGACAGAAATTCGCAGATACAACTGAAGTCAAACGTGTGGAAAAAACACTCAAGAATTTGTAATTCATGCGAGTAGGAAAGCAGAATTGTTTAAGTGCATTTCCATTCTTCAATCCCAGTTCACTGCTTTCTGTCATGCGAGTACCTTTGTAGAAAACATTGTAATACTTTAGTACAGTTAATTTGAGATTCCTTTTAAGAAAAATTACTAAGATACAAAGTTGTTTTTTGCCTTTGTTGTAGCTTTAGATATTAGCACTAATTTCATTTCTTCACCCACACTCTGTGCTTTGTCTTCATTTGAATGCAGACTTAAAGGTCATTTGCAGTCTTAAACGATTTAAGTTTAAAGACAAGTACAATTTATTGGTTTCCATTTAAGCAACTTTTTTTCGTTTAGTGTCAATTAAAGCAACTCGAAACCTTATTTTACATTTTGCCATTTTGCCATTTTTCCACGCGTTCTTAACCCTTTTATTTAATTAAAAATGCTAAGTAAAAAGTTAAATGGAGCGCAAAAGTGTAGATTGCTGCCGCATATAAGAAACCCAACAAATTTCTTGGAACCTTTCTCATACTTGTAGTATCTCGGAATTTCGCTTACACGAAACAAAGAAGAAAAAACAATTTCTTCCTACTTTGGGTATGCTTTTTTGTATTCTTAAAGTCACTTCAAAGCTTTAAATCTCTTTAAAGAAGTTTCAGCTTCGGTGCACTTCTTTGGCAGTTAAGGTTTGTGTTCGCATTAAACTGAAATTCTTTTATGGATTAACACGCGCGTTAATTACACATAATTTTGAGTAACTTAAGATTTTACGGTGTGAGTGGAAAGTGTATTATCGGTTCACCCCTTTTCTTAATCCCATTTTGGCCAAAAAGGGTGATTTCAGTGTTGTAGGAACTCTTCTTTGTTCAGTACTTTGCATACTTTAATAGTGTTTGTTGTTGTTGTTTCCGTAGTATTTTCATATACATATATATTGTTACTCGAAAAGGTGTATATATCTATAAATTTAGTGTAAGATTTCCATGTATATTCATTGAGCCAGCAGCACCTTTTCACATAAATTTACGCTTAATTTCACTTTATAAATAGTTTTAGTTAAAAGCATTCACAATTTCTACTTTTACTAATTTCGACAGATTTGTATTTGGTTTTATTGTGTGAACCCAAATGTATTAGCGATAATCGAAACATCCAAATGCGGATATGTAAATTATTTTAAAAGCTTTCATCTGTGTTTTTGAAAAAGATGTGCCAGTTTTACCTGTAAAGGTCAAGGCTCCTAAAACCCAAACAAATTAATGAATTGAGATGCGATACTTTTACGGCAAAGGGTACTTTACAATAGAAAGCTTTAATTTTCAATTTAAAGTTTACAGCCCTTATTTGACAAACTCATTATAAATAACTACAAACTATATAAACGATGGTAGGTAAGATAGTTTAGATGAAAATGTTGAGTAATTAGTACAATGAAATGGAAAATAACTGATTAACAAATTTTAAATAACTAGATAAAACTTCATTACATAACCTTTTAGTGAGAAAAATTCGACACATGGCGTACATATTTCACCTTAGAAAAAATAAATTCAATAAATTCAATAAATTCAATTGAAGTGCACAAAAATCGGAGAACAAGATAAATAGATACTTTGATGATTTAAAATATACATCATTAGATTGTATGGAATGAATGGACCAGGGGTAATGATCTAATAACACCATATTAATCAATTCTAAATGATTAACTACATCGTCGAAAGGAATGCACTTAGACTCAAGATTATTTCAACTTTAAAGAAAACTTTGAAAAGAAAATGAAACATAACAGAAAAACTCTGCATTTCTACTATTATAATAAGTATATAATAATTTATTTAAAAT